TCCCAATGTCCATCCCCAAGTGTGATGATGTGGAAAGTGGGATGGACCTCCTTGCTGAAATGGGTGGTAGCCCTGGATCGAATTGCTGGGTTACCCCAAGATGGCACATGGGCAGCGTGAGAAAGAACAGCCATCCTTACCCATTTTATTTCATCCCATCTTCAGCTACAGAGACCAAATGATTCTGGTACAGTATTAAATCATTTTGCCTGCATGCTGCGCATATGTACTCGCTGACTAGGACTCCAGACTAAGCCAGTGAATTGATGCAGTATCTATCTATTTATTTATTCATTCATTCATTCCTGTCTCTGTCTAACCCAGGTCTAGCAGACAAGAGTATCCATAATGGCTGTTCCCGTGTATTATTATAATAATGATTGTTTTAATGATCCTGAACTACCTTTGCTACTAGATTTCTAGGCACTTGTCTCTTGATAATAGTATTTTATTTTTTCTTTTTCTTTTTTTCCCCCCTTTGGATACTAGAAATGCTAGACAACTATTTTATTCTTGAGGTTCAAAAGTGCCAATGATTTTTTGTTGTTGTTGTTTGATAGTTTAGAAATTATTTCTAACCTTTTTACCCTTATGGATCAGAGGGTTTTTATTTTGGGTAAATTCTGAACTTGAACCTAGAAATCGGTTTGTATTTTTTTAAACTTAGTTAATAGCCTTGAGGAGGGTTGTGTATTAATATAAAAGGAACCTCTACACAATTTGGTGTACTGTAGATTTTAACGAAAGATGTAAAATATTCGGCCTTTTTTTCCTTTGACTTTGTATTTTACTGCATGTCATTTCTCTAATTTTTAATCAATAAAAAAAATGTCCATTACTTTTGGGAGTGGCTTACGTTAAAGTTCTCTATTACTTTTTCTGCAGATTTCTCAAGAAGTTTACCACATAGCACATCCACAGATGGGAAATAGGCATATGGTATCTTATTATAAATAGTTAAACATGTAGTTCAGTGGTTAAAAGGATGCTGTTAGTTCTGGTGAATGTGGCATCAGTTAAAAATCTGGATATTGGAATTGTAAATGAGGGGGAAAGGCCCCCTCAGGCTTGAACCAGCCCTTCCTCTGAGGGCCTTCTTGTTGGCAGATGTGAAAAAGGGGGGGAAATTTAATGCATTTGTTTTTTTAAAAAAGCAATTCTATATAATTTCCCATTCAAAGACATCTCAAAGTGATTTACAATTCAAAAATTATATTTACAGTTAAAAACAATACAGCAAAATTAATAAAAATGTACAGAAGTGTCTGCCTTATTGCACAAGTCAGGTAAAACAGAACCTGCATGCTTTCCCTTACAAACTGGTAAGGCACATGGCCACAAAGTAAATAATGTCCCAGTAAACAAATGCTCAAAATTCTATTACTCTCTGAAAATGGCAACATCAGGGACAGAATTAGATTAGTTGGTGGGCAATACTCTCTTGTTTGAGGCCTCTACCTTTTGTAATGAGGAGGAAAGGCGTCCTCAGGGTCGAACCAGCCCCTCCTCAGGGGTCCTTCAGTTCTGAGATAACCCATGGCTGTGGGTGAACAGCGACTAGCCAATGACGTATCCTGCTGCCACCACCCCTACACTATACAGCTAGGTCACTATTAATGCGAGTCTGAATAATACAATATTCGATTATGTGCATTTAATGCGACCCAAAATTCATTGAATGCGAGGCTAGCACGTGAGCAGTTGTGATTGGGGTTTTGGACGCTGCTCATCTTCATGGGTACGAAATGGAGAAAGGGAAGATTCTGTCAGAGGAAAACAAGTAAGCTTGAAAAAGAAGTTATTACATTGGAGCAAACATTTGATGTAATTGAACAACATGAACGTGGTCATAGCAAGGCTAAAATAGGATGTGACATTGGAATACAGTAGCATTTTTTTTTGTTTTTGCTTTCTATAACTACTCTGTTAACCATAAATTTAAATTATAAGTATATTTTTATCCTTTACTG